GTAAGGCGCATAGGCACCCTGAAGATCATCCATGCCGGTTCGATTTTAAGAAAGCCGGCAGGGAGATTATTAGGAAGGAAAACCCGATTTGTAAAGCCGACAAGATGTTAACTAGGGTTTGATTTTTTATTTTATTTTATTTTTTTTTGTTCTATGTTATAATGCAATTGATATTTTATGCAGTATGAAACAAATTGTTTGTAATTTTTTCACATACATGCAATTTTCTGACAAATCTTATATCAAATTATTGTCTGAATTGAATTGAAGAGAAGCTAAGACAAAGAACACTGTTAATGTCCACTATTTTCGACAAACATAGATACAACGACTTTTATCTTATATAGAGTGACACTTCAAATACACAAGATTTCGACGAACTTATTTATGTTTATATATAACTCTTAAAAAATGAAAAAATAACTATAAACACAAAAGAAACATGAACTATCTTATATTTTATTTTATTTCTTATCTTAATTATGTTAAGTTATTATGAATTTGAAGTCATGCTGTCATGGGGTATTTATAGATGTTTTTTTGACATCTTTAGAGGTTCATTCGTCAAAAGATACCTTTCGGGATGTGCCTTGTTATCCAAAACTAAGTTGAGACCTATTCGGCATGAGAAAGTGCGTTGGAGTCGTGTACTTATCGCACCCGCCCGCGGCTAGCCATTGCACCCAACCGATGAGTTGTTCGACACTTCGCGCTCGGGACCCACCCACAGGGCATGGCATGCGCATGCGCGTTGGGAGCCGTAAACCGCGTGATTCAGGATATTATTCTAAGTTTTTCATTTATGAAAAAATAGAATCATAAAATTGGTACAAAACTAATTTTGTTCTGGTATCTTGTTTTGGGCATCCCGCCACTCGTCTACCAGGCCCAGAGGGGATAGAACGAGGTGTGGGGTTCGGGGGTGGGGTAGCGGCTAGTTGTTTGGGGACAGGGTTCAAGAATAGGTTTTTTTACCTTTGTCAATTTTTGGGACTGAGAAGGGTTGGATTTCTTATATAACAAGGAGAGACATCATGTCCCCATGAGAGCAACAAGGTAAACGTTCGAATTCAACATTTCGTTCAACACTGTTGTTCCTCCAGGTAAAGGCGACGTATGTGGAAGGGGGAAGTTCAATGTTCAGAGCTACGGAAAAAACGTGCTTAATAGCTTTGTTCTGAGTGGCATCGTCAACTTTTAGGAGAGTGCCGAATATGATGACAATAATTCAGAGAGCGTTTAAGTCGAAATAAGGGAGGGGGAGGGATGGATTTTGTAACAAATAGGTACAATTGTAGATTTATTTTTATTTTTATTTTTTTTAAGTTGAAAACGACAGACCATTTAAAAATCCGTATGGAAAATTTAGAATTAAAATTTCACGTTTCATCCAAAATTTGGCGAACGTATTTGGATTGTCAACTTTTATCACATCGATGTGGGTGGTTGGCAATGAAGGTAAAAGATTTAAAACCGGTAAAAAACCCAATCGAGCAAGATTCAACCACATTGTCTCGTTGGAGGGCCTGGCAAAGGAGAATTTATCTATGAGGGCGTATTTGAGGTCCTCCGGCATTTCTTAAACTTCATAAGGACTTGTCCTTTAAGTACTTAATCTCTTGTGCTGCAAAAGCCGATTATCCTCTGTTCCTTGCCAGATGCATCATTCATGTAGTAATCCTTGATATTATTTTGCAGTAAAGATATCTTTAAGGAATTTATTGAGTGCGGCAAGCTCGACCATTTCTCTGTCCAGTTACATGCTGCTCCATTTTCTTGATCTTTGACTCCATCTCCTACGGGCTCAGGCCCAAGTTACTCGGGTCAAGGCCCGAGTTCGCAAACCCGTGAAACAGGTGATCAAAGCTCCTGAGGGACAGATCCTCGCACCTCCGACTCAATCGAGAGATGGATTTGGCGAAGGATTTGAGATTCTCGACGAGCTCGGCCCAGGCCAGTCCCGATAAGTACGAGTCGTCGTTTGAGACAATTTTTCTAACACGTTCGAGGCGTAGGGCTTTGTTCTTGAGTGTTGAGATTCTATTTGTGTGTGTGTGTGTGTGTCTGTGTGAAAATTGGTGATACACAAAATTAAAATTCAATATGAAATAAAAACATAAAAAAAAAAGTGCTCGTTTATAATTCTACATTGAACCTTTTTTTACAGGAAAATGTCTTGGCAAATTAGGGATTTGAGGTTGTGTTACGTTTGTGGAGAATAAAAATATATGTGGATTAAGTGTTTGATTGTACATTAATAATATTTTTGGTAATTACAGAAGTCGGATCATGTTATTAATATATTTGTGATACTGGACAATGTGCTACATTGACATAAGATAGCATCAAACATTGATAACCAAACCCCACAAGCAGCAAAACATGCAGAAAGGAATCGATATTTTAGCATTCGATCCGGTACAATGATGACTATCAAATATGTCGAGTGTATACGAAAAAATAACCGAACAAAAAAGAAAAGGGCTTGATGATGCCATTCAAATATAAATTTAGCCTGAAAAAGTGATGACAGATATGCTACTGAGACATTTTACCTATAGTAAGCTGCAACTGCTTGGAGATTTCAAGATTTTCTGACACATTTAACGCAATTGTTTGAAGCTCAAAATTATATCCTTGTCCTTCTGCACAACCGTAATCGGCGCGAGTGTTAAAAGGAAAATTAATCCTTCTGAGTTGCTATAAAATTTGACATTTATGGTAAAAAAATGGAGCTTACAGTTTTGGCCAGTTCTTTGGCTTTTTCGTCATTAAAGCCAAGTGCAGCAAGTACTTTATGCCCTGCAGACTCCTTTTGTGCCCACATTCCGAGAACCAAATATGCAGTCGTTATTTCGCCACTTTCACCTGCAGTTTTCTAAATAATTCAGTACGAAACTGATAAATTCAAAACAAATAAAAAAATTAACTGCAATATTATAACAAAGACGTCGACCAAGTTAAACTTGTTATATTACTCTTAGGTGAAAGTGAGTAAAATTGATACCAATATACAATCAGTCACACACTGATTAATTCAAAGCAAAAACGAGACGTGTAGATTAAGGATATCACCAGTCACTATAATTCCATTTACCAAACAGTTACCAAAGGTTCCATGAATGACTAAAGTTCTATAGTTCACCACGTTTTGAAGATAAAAAAATTAGGTTCCTTTCAGCTTAACATACTCAATTATCTTCACTATTAAAAAAAGTAAACTATCAGGGAGCAATATAAGAAACAGACTTCTTGTAAGTTAAATGTTTCGTCAATAAAAACAAGCCACACAGAATTATATTCTGGTCCCATCACATCCAAATGAACTTTTTAGCATTAATATTCAAATTAGCAGTGCACTAAAGTTCTCACAATGTAACATTAATTACAAAACACGACTAATAAACACGATGCTTACAGTGCAGAATCAAATAAAGTAACACTTACAATACTGCATAGACCTATTGTGGCAAGCACATATGGGTTAACTTATGCACCTTGATTGTTTTGTCATTCCTCGAGTTGAGAGTTAAAACAATTATAACAGAAATAATAAATAAACAAAAATACTAATGGTTCAATAGGTACGGAAAATAGCTATAGACAAAAGAAAAAGTACAAATAAAAAGTGTTTACTATCTTAAAAGCCCATCTCCTTTGTTGCTTTCCAGGTCTTAAGCAGCCAGACAATACTTTGCATTTTGCTCAAGCTAAGTTATGAGTCAGTGACTCGGTGGCCAATTTTTTTTATGTCCGACTCTGCTCAACTGCTTGAAAACATTCATTTGGCACATTTAAAAAACTTTACTAAACAAAGAAATACATACAAACACTCAATTTTAAGCCAATATTTTGTTATAAAGAACAAAAGACAATGGCTCTTCCGATTGAGATCTTCAGTTTGGAGTACACAATTACAAAGCACCTCAAGTCAAATACTAGATTCCCCAAGAAAATTCTATCTAATACAAACGAGGCTTAAGAAATACTACCTCCTACTTTTAATATATGTCGTTTTGAGAAGTTGCACATTAATTGAGCATATTTTTTATTTAATGAAGATAGAGATGGATGTTTTGAGAAAAGATGAAGAGTGATATGAAAAGACGTAATGTATTTATTAGCTAAACGAGGGCAATAATGGAAAAATATGTACAAAAGATCCAAAACGACATTTATTTGGTTAATTGTTGATAAAGCCAAAATGACATTTAAAAAAAATAGGAGGGAGTACATGTGACATCTGCTATAAAAAACTTTAGCAACCAAAAGTAACTCTATAGAGATCCGTTAGTGTAGCCACAAATATTAAATGGAAGTGACAGAAATTTTACAATATAATGAATGTAAAACGGGTATTAAGGAGAACTCCAACAATCTGAAATATAAAAAGCTTAAAACAATACGCCAAATATCGATTATAATAAGACGAAAGTATCAAAGTACCTGACTTCAGCTTCTCTTCAACTGCCCAGTCAAGGGCCATCTGAGCTTGTATGGTCAAAGGTGGGTTCTCGGGGACGATAACTAATATACCAGATTTGCCTAGCAACTCTAGAGTTTCTTCTCGGACCTTGTAAAATGTAATCCCATTTTCCCTTAAAATTTTAGCTGCCAAACTGGTTCCTGCATGATTAACAATTTAGTTTATAACACATAGCTTACTAGATGGTCTTGCTTCATTCGAACTGAAAAACTTATCCTCGAAATCTATTTATATTTATTCAGGAGGAACTCAAACAATAGTCTGCCATATATCTTCATAAGTTTAGCGATATATTCAGGGAAACTGTTCTATTTGGAAATCAAACGACTAAACGAGCTATCAGCTAAATATAGCCGAGCAACAAAACTAAGATGTACAATACAAACTTGAAAAAATCCGAATATAATACACATTTTATCTATAATTCAATTGCATACCTTCGATCAAAATACCCATCAGGAGAGCCTCGGTCCCCGTTTTCGGATAATTGAGCTTATTTGCTGTAATCTCAGCTAAGGCAAATGACTTAATTGATCTTGCAGACCATCTACACTCAACAAGATTCCAATAACTTACACACCCATTGCCAATCAAAGAAAATCAAAGAAACCCAAAAAAAAATCCCAAAAATCTTACTTGGGCACATTGTCCGAAGCAACGTCAGTCTTTCTGCAGGGCCGGACTCAAATAACATGTCGAAAAATAATAAGTTAAATCTGCGTACGAACGATAAAAATTTCCAAACTGGAATGAAAACAATAAACTAAAATAAAATAAAAATAAAAATTACGTGGTGGGCAGACTGAAGGAGATGGTGGCGACCGCCGAACGACATCGTTTAGAAGTAATCAGACCGAAGCTTGACGGCTGAGCCCGCAGCTTTGTGCCCACAAAATAACTCGATAAACTGAAACCCATAATTTGCTCGGAGGGTTTCACGCAGGGTCGATTTGTGGCTGACGAGGAGGGTGTAATTGAGAGCACAGACAACCCTTGAGCAGCCATTGAAGAGAGGAGCTTTCTTGAGAAATGGGAATGTAAAAAGACTTCACTTGGATAACTATAAGCGGGAGTGGGCAGAGGGATTTAGGGTTCTCCGCATGTTACTCTGTCTTAAGCTTTTTTGTAGAATGTGACTGTGGATTGAAATCTACAGTCAATTTTGCAGTCTACCTTGTGAAGCGGATGAGCTGAGGCTTTGGGCTCTGGTGGTGAGAACGCAAAAGCCAATCTTTTGTATCGAGCACGATTGACAACTTGCCTGAAAACGCTGCTTACACAAAAGCGATTAGGATGCAAACCAATGAGACAATAAATTATCTATAAATTAGGGGAAAATGCTACGATCTCGTTACGGTATCATCCCGTCGGATGTTTTAACTGTTGGATCATCTATCTTCAACTAACTATATGTGTATCCAATGGTTAAAACATCCAACGGGATGATACTGTAACGGGACCGTAACATTTCCCTAAATTAGAAGTTTTAACACGATTAAAACTCCCGAGATAACGTTACCGTAAGGGGACTATAGTATTTCTCTACGTATTATAAGGAAAGTCCTTTAAGTACCATTCCGAATTTTTAACTGTAAATTATCTATAAATTAAATATATAAATAATATTAATGGGGCAATATATATTATAGGGAAAGTCCTTTAAAGGAACCATTCCAAAATTTTTAACTGTAAATGATCTATAAATTAAATATATAAATAATATTAATTATTATCCTCCTTATATATTATTCACGAATGCGCTGAGCCTACATGGTTGTTTCTGTTGCTTCATAATTCTACTTTGACAAAGAATCATACTTCATAATTATGTTTGGACAAGTAATATTGATATATTAATAATTAATAATCTAGGTTCGGACATTGCATAAATATTAAATAGCTAACTTAGGTATTTTAATATCACTTGTACTAATATAACCCTTTAATTCTTTGTAATTTTACATAGTGAGACATTAAGTGACTAATATATCTCTGACTTTTGATTTGTTTCCTTCAATTAGTTATTTAATTGTAAATGTATTTTAAAAGTTGATAACTTTTGTGTTTCTTATCGGTTTTACATATATAATATATCAAATTATTCATCTTTTGATGATCTTCGATTTGACATCCATATTGTATTAATGAAATAAATAAATTATATTTATCTTTGTAACATAAATTCTATGGCACCACATGTGACATCTTGGTGCCACAACATGATGTGTGATAGTTGTGGCACCAATCATAATGTGCCACATCATGTTGTGGCACCATAATATGGTGCCACATGTGGTGCCATAGAATTTCTGATCTTTATAATAATAAAAAATAATAGTATTTATTAAAATTTATTAAAAAAATAAAATTATTTCTCAATTGATATATTTATGTTTAATGTAGTTATATGTTGTAAGTTAAAAAATTATTATAATATAACACAAGTAAGTCGCAAATAAAAAAGTGTCATACTAAATATATAATAATATATATATATTTTTATAAAAAGGTATTTAAATTTTCAATTAATTTTTCTCATTAATTTTAGATTTGAAAAAAAAATAGCAAGCACCCGTGTAATACACGGACGTTGTACTAGTTAATCATTATTTTCAAAATGGGACTAGATAAAACAGTACGACTATATAGGCAAAATAAATAAATAAATAAAATATGTTACCACGGTCTTTAAGAGAGTCGTAAAGTTTTTCATTAAATGAACTATATTATTGTAATTGCTGGTTGAGTAAAATTTAATGAAACTCGTCAACAGTTATTTATATACAAATCACACCATAAATATATCTAATTTTCTATCTAATGTCCTCTTATCCTTTCCTTCTTAATCATTTTCATGTGATGTGCTACAATCATGGATATAATTATTTATAAACATATACAAATTCATGGTACAATCATGTATATAATCTTTTCTTAAGTTATGTTTGATAGACAAATAAGTTAGCTTATAGATTATTTGGTTAGTTTATAAGCTCTTTGTATTCAAATAACTCTTGCTTGGTAGGACGAGCTTTTTTAAAAGGCTCGAGCTTATTTGATAAGCTAGTTGAAATTTTTTATTTCAGCTAACTTATCAGCCAGCTAATTTTGAAAAAAAAAATTTAGCATATAAGTTAGCTTTCTAACTATAACTCATAAGCTATAAGCTCGAAAATTACTGTTAAGCTATAAGAATAACGTGGGACTCCTCTATATGAACTTCAGGTATAAATAAGGAAGATTAAGGAACTTGTTTTGAAGAAGAAGTCAGAGCTCGAAGACATTTGTAGAAAGACACGTTTAATTCCAGAATCCAATGGTTCTATTGACAGTAATAATGTTCTTCAAGAAAGTGTCATTTTTTTTTCAATTCTTATTTCTGATTTTTGTTTTTGCGGTTAATGCAAGACGCTGTTGATGCTTCTTTTGTACTTGAACAAATTGAACTGCAAATATCAAAAGTCAAAGACGAGGCACTCAGCCGGAATGAAATCCTCGAAAAGGTTGAGAAATGGATGGCTGCATGTGACGAGCTAGGAAAGCTGGCTTGAGGGAGTATAATAGGGTTCGGTTCGCCTTCGATTTGAAGTATTACTATTTCTTACATCCTTAGTTGCAATTGCACAATTCGTCTGAGATATTTGTTTCTTTTTTTCTTTTGTTAGGATGAATCGTTATAATGCTGGGAGAGGTGCTCATCTTACTCTTGAACGTGCTGAAAAAGCCCGAGCACTAGTCAACAAACTTCCTGGTATGGTTATTTATTTATTTTTTTCTACAACCTTAATTATTGAAATTGTGGCTTACAGTAATTGGCATTGTTTTGTCGAATAGGAATGGTGGATGCAGTGACTTCGAAGATCACCGCGTGGGAAAATGAGGGAGGAGTTCATTTTACTTATGATGGGGTGAGCGCTTTTCTCTCGCTATCTCTCATCATAACATACACTCTGTAGTGTACCATAATCCACCATTGCTTCAAATCTTGAATTTTCTAGATTCGTTTGCTTTCAATGCTTGAAGACTACACGGTTTTACGACAAGAAAAAGAACTAGAGCGCAAAAGGCAGAGGGTAAGTACCTTTTTTTGGCTCGGCTTACTTGCTCTAACACGTCATTTGGAAGATTTGATGATATGTGCTGATTATTTGTTTTATCAGGACCAGAAGAAACTCTAGGGACAGTTACTAATTGAACAAGAAATTCTTTATTGATCAAAACCGAGCGCATAGATTGTCGTCATGTAATAATGGAGTTCGTGCAAACAATAAACAGCTCTCTCTTGGTGGATCTATGCTTCTTCAAACTCATACTCCTAATACACGCATTATCAGAATAAGTGAAAGAATGAACCCGAACTGCCTTAAAGATGATGAAGGATTTACAGCTCTCGGTAAGTTTTCCCGCCATTTTTGGCTTGGTGATATTATTTTTTTTCAATATCGGCAAAGGATATATATGATAAATTCTTCTTGTGTTATATTTGGATATAGCCTGTCTTCCTATAAAACAAAATTCTCTCAACCCCACACTCATTGCTCGAGAAATAGAGTCGCGGCTGCCTTTCTCGGTTATTTCCTCCACCAGAGCCTTCAAAAGCCAACGCGAACAACATTTGTATGGAAGACCCGAACAAAAAACACAACGAGATGCTTCGAAAGACACTCACAATCAACGAAATAGAGAACCGTACGCCTCAAGAAACAGCCATAGTTTCCTCCCTGCCCTCAACACCATCAACGGTTTCTATTATTCCAATGCAGGTGGCCATAATAACGCCCACTCAAATGCCGACAGCTGTCCCAAGACAGATGACGATTGTTCCTGCAGCTAAGTCGGACAATGAGGAAATTGAATACTCGTTCGAGGAGAGGCGGGCCGGGTTTGTGCTTAGCTTATGATTTTTTATTGAATCATCGTGCTGACCAGACCATTCTTAAATTCAGTGAAATTCCTTCTGTATTCATCTTATATTACTTTTTTGTGGATGATGCAAAAATGATAGTCAATTCTGTTGCCTTCATCTTGTGTACACACTGAAAAGATACTACCTTTTCTAATTTGACTATTTGATTCAATGTACTACGAGGATGTTTCCAAGTTATCCTAATTGACAATGGACAAGGGTGGATTGAGGCAAAATTGTATATTTAGTCCTGTTTGGTTTAACGTCGTAGTATTTTTAGTCTCAAGATTTCAACATTTCGTCTTCTGATCCTGTAATTTTGTATTTTGGTGCAATTTCAGTCATTTGAAAATAAAATAGCGAATTTTGTTGCATTTTAGTCCCAAAGCACTGAAATTGCGCTGAATTTTAAAATCATAGGACTAAATAACAAAAATGTTCAATTCTTAAGAGTAAGAACGTCACTAGGTCAAACTAACAGGACTAAAATTGCAATTTTGCCTTTTTCTAACCCGTTTGCTGATTTGGATTAGACTCGACTTTAAGGGATTGAGTTCATTATTTCAATTTAATGGAATAAATTAAAAGGGAGAATTTAGTGTAAGATACTGTAGTCCTTAGAATGTTTTCTCCTTCTTCCTTATATCTTCCTGCTTCTTTTTATAGTAAGAATCATATTAGACAGACCCAGCTATTCTTTTAACATTTATGTTATATTTTTTTAATAGATATAAATATAAATAGAATATGGCAATTTATATCTTTGTGAAGTAAGTTTGATAAGTTGATCCACAAATAAAATATGTATCATTTTTTATTAGATAAGTTTGATGAGTTGATCCAAGTTTTTTTGGGCTTTGAGGAAATAATTTTGTACTAATGCAAGGAAACATAAAGCAAGCACCATCATTTTACCATTTTTTCCTCTGTAATTTTGCATAGTAAAGACTAAGGGCATGATTGGTATGAAGGAATGACATGAGAATGGAATGATCATTCCTTCACTCATTCCCTTTCCTATGATTGGTATACATTTTTTAAAGGAATTACCATTCCAATGGGAATGACAAAACCCATCTCCATGGGATTAGCCATTCCTTAGTTCATGGAAGGTTTTCTCATTCCCATTTGTGTAGGAATCAATTTTTCAAAAAATAAAATTAACAAAAAATAATAATAAATAAATATATAATATATATTATAAATCATGATTAAAATATATTAAATAAAATTATTTTATAAAATAAAATTCAAATAAAAAATTGAAAATTTACTTTTATTTATTGTTTATTTAGATATATTAAATACTTATATAAAAATAAAACTAAAAAAAACATTTATATATAATTTAAATATATTATTTTTTATATATTATTAAAAATATATTATTAAAAATATAGTATTAAAAAATATTAAAAATATATATTATTAAAAATAAATTAATTTTTATTTTTATATATTATTAAAAATATATTAATATTTATTTTTATATATTATTAAAAATATATTATTTTGAAAAATAAAATTCAAAACTTACTTTTATTTATTGTTTAATTAAAAAATAAAAATATATATTATAAAAATATATTATTTCTTATATTTAAAAATATATTACTTTTAAGAATATATTATTTTTATTTATAATTTAAAAATATATTATTTTATTTTTGTATATTTTTTAAACTATATTATTTTTTATATTATTAAAAATATATTATTTTATTTTTACATATTATTTAAAAAAATCATTTATATATAATTTATTAAAAAAATATTTTTTTTGAAAAAAACCTTTTATTTATTTTTATAATAAAAAATGATAATGTCATTCCATTCAGGTCTTATTCCTTCTGCATATCAAACGCATCAATGACAAAACTTGTTTCATTCCATTCCCATAATCATTCCATTCTTCTGTTCATTCCATTCCTACGAAATCCCATTCCAGTAAAGACTAAACAGTGGCAGTAACAGTAGTTGTACAAAATTGGTAGACATGTCCACGGGTCGAACCAGCCCTGAAACCGATCTCGTAAGGGATGGTTCGTTGAACCGGACCATTCGAGTCGCGGTTCGGTCCCAGTTCATTTTTGTCCCGCCGGGCCGGGTCGGGCCACAGGTCAGACGGCGGGCCATGAGTTATTTTTCTTAAAGGCCGTACTGGCCCGTGAACCGCCGAATCAATGAACCAGCAATTTGGGCCAGTTCTATAAACTGGCCCATTTAAATGGACGGGCTGGTCACGGGCCATGAGATTGAGGCCTGCCGGTCACCGGGTTGCGGCCCAACAATTGGCCACGATTAAATTCAAAGGTATCTTTTTCCAAATAATGAAATAAATCGTCTAGTTTTATTTTACCTAAAGAAAGAGATAACAACCTTTTTTTTTTTTAGCCAGCCACGGTATTCGGAGCTATGCCTCGACTTATCTGTTGGTCGACCGGGGTCGCACACCTGACAGTGGCTGGTGAGTCTCCCAACAAGGGTTTTCTGCATCCACAAAGACTCGAACCCGAGACCTTGCTTAAGCGACATCAAACTGTTTACCACTTGAGCTACCCCATGTTGATCCTCCAACGTTAAACCTTACATAAGCTGAAAAAAGACGGGAAAAAAATAATTAAATTCCCATTTAATATTTTGGAAAATAATGGAATTTCCCTTTATTTTACTATCTTCCAATTCACATCACTTTGCTATTTTTTTTTTTTAACTTAATGTATTAAATTTCCAAGCGGACCCCAAACCATTTTCTCAACCGTAATTAATACTTTGAATTTTGCAATTTAAATATTGATTTACCCACCTAATTATTTTTTCAATTATTTTATTATATCATATTTATTTCTTTAATTTCTCTCCAACTTTATTTCATTGCTCTACATTTTTTTTTCTGGCAAAAACCCTAATTTCACAAGTCCAATTTTTTTGTTTTTCCACACCCATCTTTTTCTTTTGCTTTCTTTTCTTTTTTTTTTTAAAAAAATAAAAATAAAAAATCCATTTCATCTCTTTTGGGTTTGATCATACCATGAATAAGCTGAAAAAGGCCCATAGTAAGTAGATTCTATGAAGCTCTGTTTGTACTCTGATGACCTGTAAAAGTAGCATCTTGATTCTTTGGTTTCTTGATTTTACAGATTTTCTGAAGCAGACCTTTTTTTTTTCCCCTTTTTAGAGCTCTGTTGATTTATAGTTTTCAAAGTTGGATTTTAGTTGGTCTGAGTATTCGAGCTCAATAAGAATAAAGAAGACAGAAAAAAAAAAAAGACGGGCTTTACTCGCTGAGCGAGTTGGGGTTTAAGCATTGGTAATCTCTGTGAAGGGTTTAAGGGTTGTTTGGTTAGTGTATGAATGGAGGAAAAGGACGGGTTGAACGGCTCTGGGTTCAGGTTAAAAGGCGATGAAGCCCCTCAGAGTTACAGAGTCGAGCCGAGTGATGAAAATCCCGGCATCCAGTCTGGCGGATCGACTGCGCCGCCGCCTCCGGTGGCGCCATCTCCAAACGCGGCGGATCCGTCGACGGAGTTGAAGAAGAAAAGGGGGAGGCCAAAAAAGCGCTCAGGAGATGGTTCTGCTGCAGCACTATCACCCATGCCGATATCCGCTTCGATTCCCTTCACCGGCGATTACTCCTCGGCTTGGAAGAACAGTGCAAGCCGGCCGGTGGACACTTTCAAGAAAAAGCACAAGTTGGAGTTTGAAAATCAAGGTATTTAGGAGTGTTTGTTTTGGTATTCTTCCGACAAGAAATGTGTTGTTTTAGGAAGAAAATAGATCTGCTAATCTGCTTTTCTGTTGTTCTGTGCTTGCCTTTTATGTTTTGTGGGTCAACTGTAAGCAAGCTTTTTTAGGCAATCTAATTTCGAATTGGGACCCCTTTCAGCTAAGTTCCTCAAAGGTGTGTGTGTGTGTGTGTGTGTGTGTGTGTGTGTGTGCATTACTGTGTTGTTGTAGTTTGGTGCTTGGGCCAAATAGAATGTTTGGAAAACTGTTAAAAGATCTTGCTTTGTTTGTTTATTAGTGGTGTGTCTCTTTTGGTGATGTGACCAGACGCAAGATCTTGTCTTTTACTCAATAATTGCTTGGTCTGAGTGAGTAAATGGGAAAAGAAATAGTAAAGAAGCATAATAATGAATTATGGTGAGAAGATGATTAGAAGATGATGTAACATGTATGGATCTAACCCAAGATAGAGAGGGGTGGATTAAGTGCTGTCGTTAAAGAGATTAAAATTGTTCGGCAAGCTGTAAAAACTCGAAAATGTGTGGCATCTTTCATTCTCCCCTGCAGCTTAAGGATATTATTATGCTTGTTTATTTATATATCTTTGCACACATCTTCAATCTATATGAATAAATTACTATCAGATTCAAAGTCAAGGGAAAGGTTGTTTGGGTCTTCCATTTATCATTGGTGATTAAGGGAATTTTTTTCTTCTTTTTTTTTTAGTCTTCATGGTCTCTCGGTGTTGAGTTAACAAAGATAATTCCATGTGCTGTGGTAAACATGGGAGATATGTTTCTTGAAACATATGCATGTAATTACGAATTACAGTTGCTAATTAGTGGTGATTGAACATATATTTAACGTGTGGCTTCATATAAATAGAGGGTTTTCGCTGAGTTAACTAGAATATCCTTCAAAATGTCATCTTTTCAATTATATGCATCACTTTCCTATTTTAAGTGTCATATATAGTGATGTTTATCAACGATATATTATTACTCGAGCACTTTCATATTTTTTTTCACGTTTTGCAGGGCAACCAGTGGCGTGCTCTTTCAGTGGAAGTTTTATACCTCATATGCTAACGGTTAACAGTGGCGAGGTACTTTAGAGCTCGGACTAGGAACAATAGATCTCTTCTGTTTCATATTATTCTCCTTATAATATGTGTGCACATGAACTTATGAACTCCCTTTTACCCGATTTATATCTGTATGCCACAAACATTTTGTGTATTGTGAAGGCATATATCTTCTTATTGTTATCTGTTTTTGTAGCTTTTAGCTATGGTAATTTTTTATTATGCTGATATTATTTTGGCAACTAGGCGGAGTATAATTGTGTAATCAAAATATGAACGAAAATATTTCTGTACTTTTTGTTATTTGAAGCTAATGAAACATTTAAAATTGCATGGTGAAATGATGTCTATCATGAATTCTGTACTAAATGCATCTTTTTCAAAAGATATCGGAACCTTATACAGAACAGCCTTTCTTTCCGGTTAGCTTATTAAGATTGTCTAGAGTTCCCATTCTTTTTCTTTCTTGTGGCTCGTTTGAATTCCTAGTTTTACTTTTGATTCGTTTCTATTTCAGGATATCATGATGAAGATAATATCATTTTCTCAACAAGGATCGAGAGCCATTTGTATTCTGGCTGCAAATGGCACTATCTCAAATGTCACAATTCGTCAAGCAAATTCTTCTGGTGGGACTTTAACTTATGAGGTAAAAAGTAAATGCACTTGCGTCCCTACGTTTTTTTTTTGTGTGTTTTCTTATTGTCTATTTTAAAAATTGTTTTGTCGAATGCTTTCGCAATCCATCACATTTCTCCGGAAAAATCATTAATTGATGCCTATTTTGTACAGGGTCGTTTCGAAATCCTTTCTCTAACAGGATCATTTATGCCGAGTGACAATGGGATGACAAAAAGCAGATCGGGCGGGCTTAGTGTCTCTCTGGCGGGCCCCGATGGCCGTGTATTGGGTGGAGGATTAGCCGGAATGTTAGTCGCGGCAGGTCCTGTTCAGGTCAGTAATTTGTTGTTAGTCTATTGAAAATTAGAAAAAAAAATAAATAAATAAAAATTATAAAGTGATTTGCTATTTAAATCCAGAGGCAACTAGACATTTTCTCTGGTTCACCAAATGATAAGATACTATTTAGTTGACAAGTTTCCCCTAGGACTACAAGCGAGCCGAGCCGAGCCGGGCCGGGCCGAGCATTGGCCTTATCGAGCAAGATTGACTTTTTTT